GGGCCACGGGCCACGGGGTGATTTTTATGACCTGAATCCCTCTTCCTCCCTCACGTCTAATGTCCTGAAGGTGCAGTCCTAGCTGTACGGCCCCTCCCCGCCCGAACTGTGAATGGCCTGCTCCAGGCCATGGCTGTGGGCAGGGAGTGAGGGGACAATTTCTGAGTGAAAAAGAAAGAATGGGGTCGGTGGTGAAGGTGCTCTCGCTTTACAGAATGGAGAGAACATCGTGTGTGTGTGCGTGTGTGTGTGTGTGTGTGTGTGTGTAAGGGGAGGAAAGCCACCTTGACAGCCCAGGTCCCTTCAGGTCACCCACAGCCAGCTTCAGGAAGGCTGCCCCATCCTCTCTCCCACTAAGTTCTGGCCTAAAGGGACCTGCTTTCTTGGCCTGGCTTCCACCTCTCCAGTCCTGTGTCTCCCTGGCCAGTGGAGTGGTCCATGCTAAGTCTAACACATCCTGGGGGCTCAGGAGGCTTCTGAGCGTCTCCTGTAGTGTGCAGCGTGAGGGCCAGAGACAGGAATGTAAGGAATGGTAACTGTGTTACCTTTCAAGTTTATCCCAATAACCAGGTCATCAGGGACCCATTGTTCTCTTCAGAACCCTATCTGGGAGAGAAGGCGAACCACCTCCGGGTTTCCATCACGTCAAGGTCACAGGCACCCATTTGTGCAAACCATCTGCCCCGGCTGCCTCCACAGACAGCTGTCTCCTTGTCCTCCTCGGCCCCGCCCCACTTCAGGGCTGCTGTGAGATGGAATTCCAGGAAAGAACTTCAGGTGTCTGGACCCTTTCTATTTAGATAATATTTTTAGATTCTTCTGCTCCCTAGTGACCTACATGGGGGCAAAGAAATTGCAAGGACTTTTTTTTAAGGGTCAGAGTTTTCAAAACAAAAGCATCTTCCCTAGAAATTTTTGTGAATTGTTTGCACTTGTGCCTGTTTTAAATTAAATTGAGTGTTCAAAGCCACTGGGCTTCCTGTGTCTCTGGGAGCGGAGACCGGCGGTCTTGGAGGGGGGGCCGCCTATGGTGGGTGAATCTCGTGGAGCCTCCCCTCCTCCCCACATGAGCTCTCCAGCAGCCACGCCACAGAACACCCAACTTCCCTGGTGACCTGTGGGCCCGAAAGGCAGGCAGAGAGGAAGGGAAACAGGAAGTGAACGGCCCTTGGGAATGAAGGCGATGAAAAATAGATGGGGCTACTCTCCCAGGGGAGAAGAGCCCACGAGGAAAGCCAGGGCCCTGCGCTGCGTTTGCTAAGGGTGAGCACAGTGGCTGACGACCACCCTACGTGTCGGCTTCTCCCATCCTCTGCGGCTCCTCACCCCCACCCCGGACCTCCAGCGTCCACAGGAAGTGGTCTGAAACTGCTTCCAGTGGGAGAGCAGTCCCTGTCTCACTCCTCAGTACTGAGGGAGATGGTGTGGAGTTGAGAAAGAATGGAGCAGAGCCTGGAAACCAGGGAGCCTGGGCTCTCGTCCTGGGGTTGGGGAGGTGGATACAATTATCTTGCGATTTCCAGCTCCCGAACGGATTCCCGCACTTCCTTCCTGAGATCTCCCACGGCCCAGGGTTCAGGAGCAAGCCAGGAGCAAGAAACCACGCAGCCTTTCTTTCACTTCCCAGTGCATTCACACCCTGACAGGTGCCCTGGTGTTGCTGCCGGCCTGGCCCCGCCACCCAGCTCAGCAGAAGCAGCACCTGTGACTTACCTTCAGGAGCCAGCACAGTGGGACGGGCCTGGCAGAGGCTCACTAAGGCAGGGGCCTCCATAGGAGGCAAGGGCTCAGTCCATCTCTCCAAAGGGAGCCGAGGGTCAGGAGTGCTTGATAAGGCAAAGAGAGGCCAGTTCTCGCAACGGAATAATACTGGATTTATTAACTATTCTTTGAGTTCTAACAGTCCTTCCACCACACAATATCACTCTGAAAGGGTGTGCGTATGTCCCACAGCTCACACACAGACCGCTTCTGATCTTAGGGTACCGAGCGCCAGCATCCTGGGTGACTCTTCACAATGACAAAAGCAACAAGAATTGGAAAAGCAAAAGATTTAGAAAAGTCTCTTCTGAAGGTAGAGATTGCTAGAGAGGACCCAGCCTCAACACCCTGGGGCTGACAAAGGGAATTCAGGGGAGAAAAATGTGGAAGTTCTGCACGGAGCCGGGCCTGGGAAGGAGTCTGTACGGACAGCAAGGCAGTCAGACACACGAGGCAGTTGTTTAGGAACGTCACTTTCTACCACCAAGCTCTCGGCAGCTCCACAGAGAAGAGCCCTCATGGTGGTTTATCCAGTCAAGAGGGCCCAGGGTGACATTCAACCAGAAAGCCGCATATCCGAGATACTGGAAAGATTACAGCACCTCTGATACAATGTGTAACCCAGACTTCATGCTGTTGAGCCAAAATACTTGCATTCCTACACCACTAAAAACGTCATTAAAATTCAACACAGTTGAAAAGGGAGTACATGAGCAAGCAAGGGTCAGAAAGCAGCAGTTTGCACTCTGGGTGTCCAGCGGTCCCCACCCCACCCCAGACCCTCTCCCTCAGGCTTTTCAGGCACTCGGTATTGTGCACCCACCACCCAGACAGGGGGACTGAGGAGAGGCAGATGTTTTGGGAGGAGAGGAGAGGGAGAGGGCAGAATACCTCAGAAACCAAAGCAAATATCAGAAAAAACTGCATAATCGGCAGGTCCCAAGGGAAGGGTTGGCAGCTCCGACTTTTCGGAAGAGAGCAGTAGCTCTCAGGACACGCAGCCTTAACTTGGAAGATTTAACTTGGGGTCCTTAGCGAAGGGTCTGGGCTCCTGCTACTTTCGATGCGAGTGTTTTGTTCATTGTTCCCTCGCTTCACTGCTGTGAAGTGACTTCAAGTATCCGGATTTAATATTCTACAAGAGGAAGAGGATTCCACGATAAATGCACATGGAGGAAGAAGTACACAGGGGTGATCCCAAAGAAAACCAGGTGTCTGAGCTCCGAGCCGGGACCCAGCGGGGAGGGCCCAACGCTGCCACCAGGGGGCACCAGAGATCACGTCCAGTGCGCCGGCCTGCGTGGCCTAGCGGATGCGGGCTGCGGGGTGCAAGGACTGGGTAGGTGTCCTGACACCTGCACGAGGCCCACTCCTGGCCCCCCACCCCTCACCGCCAGGCCCAGCAGTATCTCGGCACAGTCATTCTCGCTCTGGGCAGTTCCCTGGGGGTTACTGGCAAGAAACCTTCCATACTGCAAAGGCAAACAGATCGACGTCTTGCAAAGACCCAACTGCAGGCAGGTGAAAGGCTTCAAGTTCCACCATCAGGGTTCACAAAACAGCCCCACCTGCCGCCTCCCCGCGGGCCAGGCGCACTGACACACGTGCTAGCACTTCCGCAGGGTCCTAGCGCACGCGTCCCGCCGGACCCCCGCCCCCAACCCCGCCGCCTCGCTAGGCTAGCACGGGGCAGAGGGGTGGGGGTGAGCAGGCAGGGGGCAATGTCAGGAAAGGGCCTCTGACTCACTCATCTGCCCAATAATAAACCTGGGCCGGCCTGCTTCCCACGCGGTGGGACCAAGGCAGGAGTCCCGGGTCTCTACCTATAGCATCGATCATCCGCCCTGCCCTCCGTTAACGGCCCAGCGAGAAGCAGGAGCCGTTTAACAGGCCCCTTCCAGCTCTCGCCAGAGTTTGATGTAATTTAAACCTGGGCCTGCGGCTCGTGTGGGCTCCCGACTCCCGCGCGCCGCCGTTTCACGTCGCAAACACTTCAGTCAATTATCCCCCTCGCGGAGCTTCTATTTAAAGAGATATTGTCAGGCTCTTAAGCCTCAGAATCAGACCCGCTGCTTTCTGCTTCACATACAAAGGCTTAAAACACGAGTTCTTTGAGGATTGGAAGAAATACAATTAAGCACAGCCTTCGCAACCGTTCCACCCCGCGGGAGCACCCACGTGCGGGACGGGGGAGCTGGGAGGCGGGGAGGCGGGGAAGCGCTCAGTCCTTTCCCTTTCAGGCCTCTGTGAGCCAGCGGAAATAGGGCTTGGGCCTCCAGGGGTGAGGTGTTGAACCTCGATGATGGAATTCAAATGCACCCGCGCTGAAGAGCGGGCTGGCTCAGGAGCCCGGATTTGGCCTGGGTAGGGGTTGTGTGGAGCAGTGACCCCACATTATCAATGAAGCTGAATCTGGGGCAGAGACAGAGGGAACTGGAGTTACCCAGGAGCTGATTTAAGGGACAATTGGTGTTCAACACTAGGGACTCTCCCACTCCCAAAATACGGTTTCATTGTCTTGAGGCAGGAGTTTCTACCCTAGAAAAACATAACAGCCAGACCCCTTCCTCCTCAAACCTCCAGTCCAGAAAGACTCTAGGGCCCCCTCGGTCCTTTCCTTCTCTCACACTTCGAGGGAAAGGAGACTTTGGTAGTTTGTGGGATTATTCTCAGCATCAGTAGGCAGAGAGTGGGGAGGCTGGGTCTTTATTCTCCAAGGTGGACCCTTCTATTTGCCTGGCTGCCCGGGTGTTAGGAAACCCAGCGAGGGGAGGGGGGCCGGAGAGGAGCGACAGGTGGCTAGGCAGACCCAGGACTGAACCTGAGGGCTGAGGAGGGGGAATCCACCTTCCTGGCTGTAGCCTACGGAACCAGTCAATCGACACCTCTAGACCTAGGCCGGGAATACCGAGGAGCACAAAAAAGATGGAGGTCCCTTAGGGCTGGTGGAGGTCTCGCCTTGGCAGAGAGGCAGGTTCCAAAATGGGCTGCGGGGGGCGGCTGCCGAAAAGGTGAGGGACCTATAAGGAAGAAATACCAGTGGAGTAGAAACGGGAGGGTGGGGGAAGCAGGCCTCGGGCCTTGGCGCCGTTTACCGCTGAGCACGCAGCACCACAGCCTCGGTGCCCGCCTGCCAAGGGTTCGGCCCAGGCACCGAGACAGGCAGAGCGTTGGCCTCTAACTCCGGGCCACTCTCGGGCCCTGGCGCCTCACCGACCAGGCTGGGGATATCTGGGGCTGTGGAGCGTCGGCGCAAACCCAGGCGGCCCGAGCCGGGGCCGCCCTCCGGATGGGGGCTGAGGCCAATGGGGGCTTGCACTAAGGTTGGGGGCGCTCCCTCCAGCACCTCCTGTGAGCGCCACCGCCCAGTCCCCGAAGACTGGGGCGAGTTTGGTAGGGCCATCAGGGCCCCAGCCCGCAGGCGGGCCGCCTCCTCCTCGGTCACCGCACCCAGCGCCAGGCTCATGCTCCGACCCAGCTCG